AATTGTTTCTTGTCTGAATGGAACGACAGACAAAAATCTAGCGAGATAAGCCTTGTGAAAATGCCCTCACCTATTTTCGGATCTACAGTTCTTTCATTTACTATTCATCATGGGAAATGACTACTCAGAGAATTTCAGACTTGTACGTTTTGTTGAGGGGGGACCCCGGTGAAATTTGAAAGTCTTCGGTAAATCTAGGATCATGCGAAAATCGAAAAAAAAAAGAAAAAACCGAAAAAAGGGCTTTCCCTTATGATTGCTTTTGCATTATGCCTGAAAAGTCTTTATTTTGAATAGTTGACGATCAGAAAAAAAATCCCTTTGTGTCATTTTTTTCGATTTTTTCATGATCTATATAATGAATCGTAAAACGGAAGCTTAACTTTACTTTTTGGAGTCTCACGAACATTTTGAAAAAAAAAATCAAATCGGATCAAAATTGGGGCACGCGGCCCGTTTTAAAGGTAGAAACACGAAAAACGACGTTTTCCGTGGAAGTACGGGGCAAAACCGATTGGGTCCGGGATTTTTCCCACTTTTCAACATATCCCATCATATAACTAAAGTCGCTCAATAAGTCCCCAGATCTACCGAAGACTTTCAAATTTCACCAGGATCCCCCTTTAAAATGTTTTAATTAAAGTGTAAAAAATTATTTCGTCAATTTTTTTATTTTTCTAACGGTAAAAGTCAATTAAAAATCTGGAAAAATTCTGACAAATCTAAGAAGACATGTTAATGAGAATAAATGATGAGAAAAATGTTGGATTATAAATTCAAAAAAAAAATTCAGCTTGAAAAACAATTGAATTTCTAAATTTTTTGGAAGTCCAACTCTTTGGAAGAAAATCTTTTCAGGACCAATGACGCGATGTCTGGTCCCAAGGACAACACATGTTGGTACATAGAAGGACATGGGACAGCACAGAGATGAGATAATGCAAGGGCTCCAACCAAAACCCCGACAATAGCGGCCCAATGTACCTCCGTCGCCCTCCATACGGCGAAATTCATTAAAACATGAAAAATTGGTTGTACTATCAGGTATATCAGTCGGAATCGGTGGGTGGGGTAACGTTGGGTGAATAATGTATCGCCAAGTATGCAAGGAACCTTTCAAACATATCCCTAAAGTCTATTGAACGTTTAAATAAATCGTTTATTTATTTAATCAATGAAGAACGTGGGCCTCTGGAGTTCGAATATGCTATTTTGAGACCATTTCCGGATAATTGTGATCGCATGCGTGCACATGTGTGTATGTGTGCATATGTGTGTATGTGTGCATATGTGTATGTGATCGATCCTTTTTTGACGATAACTGAAAAAAATAATTGTTTAAAGGAATGCAATTGTGATGTAAAACACAATTGAGAATTATTTTTCTGAAGAATTCTCATCTGACTTTTAATGTAAGAAAAATCCCACAGTCAAAGAATTCAGTTTTATCCCCTTTTATCTCCACACAGAAACCCGATAAATGTATGAAATTTTCTGAATAGACATATTTTGTCAATCCTAGCGGAAAACAATTGCAAATCCGAAAACACGTGGGGGTTTCTACATGGCTTATCCGGATAGGCCCTTTAATTTTCGAACGATTGCCTGAATGAGGTTATCTTAACAATGATGGCAATTCCCTCTTGTTTGTCGTGAATTTCCCAAGTTTTATCTCGTTTGTTTTTATTAAGATAAGCATTGGTAATTAAGGAAATTAGAGGATGCACAAAGATTTTAATCTTAGGACGGTTATGGTAACGGTCACCATTTCTCCAGACTCAGTTCGCATTGCAGGTCATTCATACCCGAATGCCTCTTTCGCATCGGCAATTTTAACGTTCAACTTTCTTGAGAGTTTGACATTAGTTTTACGTGTGTTCCGTTAATTGCGAAAATCCCTAGTTTTCTCTTCAATATGAGAGGAGTTTAGTTAGTGGAGTGGCAGACCCTCATGAAATCTGACTGTAGATTTGCCTCGACGTGACAAAGTTTCAAGTGTTGAATTTTATAAGATGAATTCGTTCAGAAGTACATTCTAGATATTCGAAATGTGGAGAAAGATCAGTCGTTAAAAATACGTGAGGTAATTGACTAACTTTGGAATAATTCACCATTTTCGTTTTACGGAAACTCAAAAGTCTCGGAAGATAATTAACATGATCCGAAACACGATTGACGAAAGAACTTTGTGAACCCGCATGCCCTTTGAAGAATATAAAGCGCTTGCTGAAAACCAATTAGAAATGCAATTGCTTAAACCATTTCAGCTTAAATATTAACAAACAGGATCACTACGATAACTTAGTTTTCTGGTGAACTGAGCGGTGAGTGCCGATTGTCAACTTCCCTACAACTTTTGATCCTGATATTAAAGTAAAGTGCTTTTACTTCGTCGAAGTAAACAGCAGCCAAGCCTGAGAAGATCAGAGTTTAGGGAAGAGATATTTTTTTGTCTAATTACAGGGACCAATTTTCGTCATTCAACTCTCTCGCTGAACTTTTCGCCCATTGTTTTTTTCATTGCAACTCTTCAGTTTTATTGCTCTTTGTGTGTTTCATAGTTTCTTGGTTGCAAGAAAGATTCTTTTCTATACAATTCTCCGTCCTGTTTTATACGATTCTTACCAATGATAAATGAATAAGGAAGTAATTCCCGCGCCGAAGGAGGAGAATGGAAGCATTATGAAGTTTATGATATAAACTGCACTCTGTGTACGCTTGGATCTCACATGCTCCCCGCTATACTGGTAGATATTTTTTACGGAATTTTGAGGTACACTTGCAGGAAATTTCAATCAAGTGACGTTTCCACTAAAATTTCAAGAAATTTCGTCTTTGAAGATTCACAATTTGATGCAGAAATCATTAAAGACTGTAAATTTCAGTTTAATTATTTCACGAAAATCAGTAGTAATGCGAAAAATTCAGGTAGATATGCCCCGGTATTCTCAATTAATTGGAAATTTACTATAATTTAGTACTGAATATTTTGATTGAAAATTCAAATCTTCTTCGTCGGAAAATTCTCGTCTTCTTGCTATTCAAACATTCCAGTGAATTTTCGATGAATATTTTTTTATTTTTCCTCTCCGAAATCGAATTCAAATCAAATTTAAATTCTCTTCTTACAGTGAAATGTGAGATTTCAGTTTTATCAAGGTTTTCCTAAATATTATGAATTCCAAATTCTTCAGCCGTAGTGTCCCGAGTGCTTCAAAATTAAAATTCCTCGACAATTTTTCTCTAGTTTTTTTGGCACAGCAACGAGAGGGAGAAATACGGAAAAACTCGTGCTTCGCACTCGTGATTTTTTAATCTGAAGAACTTGACGAGTTCGTTTGTATGCAGGGAACCTTGAGGGAAATACCAGATTAATTTTGAATCTCGAGTGGTATTCGGAAGAGAATTTTTCCATCCAAATTTCGGCTAAGAGAATTGCACTATAAGACAAAATTCATCCGTCATTTCCAATGAGGGGCTCACGCGACCAAGAAATCTTTTGTTTTTCATATATATATATCACCATGAACAATTACCAGTTAAATTATCAAAAATTATCAGTTGAATGCCGTGTTGACTATATATAATAATAGTCAATTAGTGGAATTCCATTGGTTGAAATTTGGATAGGAAGAATTCTCGATATAATTCTCTTCGGATTGGTCCACGGGACGTTGAATACCGTAATTCTATTGTTCGGAAGGGTGATCGGCCAAATAATCGTATGTAATACCACAAGAGCTTCAACATTATCAGGTCTTTTCCGATAGGTTCGTTGCAAAAAAATGAAGGAGTCAAGCTTTTCACGTTAAAAAATCACGAGTGTGAAGCACGAGTGATTTTTCCTGAAAAGCTTAACAAGTTCGTTTGTATGTAGGAAACCTTGAGTACAATACCTGATTAATTTTGAATCTCGAGTGGTATTCGAAAGAGAATTTTTCCATCCAAATTTCGGCCAAGAGAATTGCACTGAGACAAAATCCATCTGTCAGTTCCAACGAGGGGCTCATTCGACCAGTTAATCTTTTGTTTTTCATATGTACATCAACATGAAAAATTGCGAGTGGAATTATCAAAAATTTTCAGTTGAATAGCATCTTGACTATATAAAATAACAGTCGAATAGTGCAATTCTATTGGCTGAAATTTGGATGGGAAAAATTCTCGGAATAATTTTACCCCCAATCCCCCGCGAAACTGCAAATACTACTTTTCTAGCGTTTGACATTTAGATGTGGGAGTAATCATTATTATTTCTTCACGTGTTTATCACTTTATTCCATGCATGAATCATTCCATATCGATTCGTACGGCATTTGAAATTGAGCGGTGAATAGCTAGTGAACATGGTAGCTATCTGGGGTCCCTACGCGGTAACTAGCGGCCTACGTTACAGAGCAAGTTGGGCCACCTTCATGAAACTGCCCATGAGCAAGACGAAGAAAACAAAGCGACGAAAGCGGCACCTCATGGTCTTGAGAAATCGATATATTTCAAATATCCCCCTGCTGACGGAACACTTTAAATGAACAAATAAATAATTGTGTGAGTGTTTTTATAATTTTTATTTATAATTTCAAAAATTGTATTTCATCATTCAAACTACAATGTATGTTTCTTTCATGATATAATCGATGCATACTATATATATTTATATCGAATAAGTTATGATAAAATGGTCGAAATGAAAATTTAAAAAACGGGATAAATCAATCAAAAACTTTTCTTCATAAATTAAAATGTGGGAGTGTTTTTTGAAAAAAAAATGCAGCCAACTAATGAGTGAATCCTCCATTTCTGCGTTTAAGAATAAATGTGATTATTTTTTAGAGGATCTGAAATAATATTCGTAACATTTGAATATTCACGCAGCTAAAATTATAAGAAAATGTAGGAAAATTCACCCACGTGGTCTCGAAGGGTACCTCCGACGCCCGACTACATGCCTGCGCTTCCAATTCAATGTTTTCAGCCAGGATACATTCAGAGCGCAGTATGGAGCGGCGCGGTAGAGAACGACAGTCGAGTTCCGTAAATTTCAAGATTGCACTTCGATGGTCCTAAAATAACAACAAATGGAGTCAAAAAAATCATCCTGAACTGCAGAATCAAAAGGTAAACACTAGAAAAACATAAATTTGTGATTAATAACTCCACAAGAACAGGAAGATCAGAAATTCACTGAGGCACATTTATTTCCGTAGCACATGCCGTTTCTCCGACCACGTGGGCCGCACGTTATTCGAACAAACAAGTGCCAGAGAACGTAACCCACGAGGACCGTAGACAGATCGAAGACTGTTGGGCAGAAATTCATCCTCAAACCACTCCATAAAATCCCTAAAATCAAGAAAAATATGAAGGTATGAGTTAATAACAGTGCAAAGAGAATGAAAAAATGATTCTCTCGTAGTGAAATTCATCTAACCTGCACGAGTAAAAAATCAAAAGAAGGAGGAGAACAAATATTAAATTAGAGGAAGAAAAAAAAACAAGAAAAGAGAAAATGATAAATTACAAAATTTTCAAGTTACGAGCCTCACAATGCAGAAATTAGGTCACCCCTCCCCCGTGATCTCATCTGACCTTCTGCAAACCCTCTGCAAACCTCAAAAACTCCGCAAAAATGTCAGCAGTTCTCAAGAACTGAGCCACCACTACCACAACGTCATTCTCCCCGCAAAAACTGTAAAACTGTCAAATATTATGGCCGAAGAAGAGCCCACATGCAAAAGATTCAAGCCTACGATTCCGTTGGACCACATCTACAACCCCGAGTTCAAGTCTCTGTTTCAGCGGCACTGGCTCGAGTTCACACCCCTAAAAAGCTCCAGACTGGAGATAATAACCACTCCATATCGTGTCTGCAAGATTCCAAATTTCATAAGAAATGAGGCATTCATGGAGGAATTGAAAAATGAGCTGTCAGTGGTGAAGAGCAGGAGAGAGGGGATGGATCTCTACTGCTTCGAGCAAACAGAGGACCTTGGAGACGTCCAAACAGAATACATACATCGACTCCACCAGGTTTTTGAGAACGACGTGAGAAGTTGGATTGATACTAATGCAGGAATTGGACTGAGCACCATAATTTCCATGTTTTCGTCCTGCTACTGTGACACTGATTACTTCCTCTGTCACGACGACTACATGGCCGACCGAAAAATCGCCTACGTGCTCTACTTGTCCGAGAACTGGACCCCGGAGGACGGTGGATCACTCGATCTCTTCGACACTGACTCCCTGGACCGTCCAAGGAACATCGTTCACTCTCTCATTCCTGAGTACAACTCTCTGGTCTTCTTCGAGGTCACCAACACCTCCTACCATCAAGTTGCAGAAGTTATATCACACGATAAGAGTAGGTGGACCGTGCACGGCTGGTTTCACAGCCCAGTCAGCCGTGACACTCGACCCCCAAGACCAGCAGTCGAGTTAACGTTCCACGAACCTTCAGAGACTGATGGAGAATTGAGTTCTTGGATCATGGACTCTTACCTCTACAAAAATATTGTGATTGGAATTCAAGAGGATCTCGAGAAAAAATCATACAGTCATCTTGCTCATTTTCTCAAGGAGGAGGCCTACATGAGGGTTTCCACTGAGTTGATAAGCGAGGAGATCAAGTGGAACAGAGTTGGACCTGCTGATCGTAGGAACTATGAGGTAGCTGATGAGACGACCCTTCCAAGTACATTGAGAAAATTCTACGAGATGTTCAAGTCAATCGAGTTCTTCAGGCTGTTGAAAAATTATACCGAATTGGAACTCGTTCCTGATGGCAATGCCATGAAGCCCAAGATGGTGATTGAGCTGCAGAGGTGGTCCAAAGGAAGCTATACCCTGATCTACGAGCCCGAGGAATTGGACCAAAATTATGGGAGTATTGTTAAAGAAGTGGAAAGACCCAAGACATATATTCCCAAGAGACGAGAGGTCAGCGATGAAACTGTTGAAGATCTTGAGAGGCTCAGGAGGAGGAGTGCCAATGGCGTGAAGAAAATATCGACAGCCAGTGGGGTCTACACCAGTAGCAGTGACAACTCTGATGATGAAAAAGGCAAAATCACGAAAATGAAGAGGAGGAGATGGAGAGATGATCAGCCCACGTGCTCCAGAATCGAGGATTACGAGGAGAAACAGAGAGATTTATCTTTCCACCCTGATTCTGATGATCCTGATGGCTCTGATATCGCTGATTCTCTGTCTGATTCGTCAAAGTACACGGAGACTGATGACCAGTCTGGTGATCCCGTCGTTGAGCCAGGTACATTGGATGTTATCATGCAATTCAATACGACTCATGGATCTGAGGATGAGACCATTGATTTCGTTGATCCTAAGGAGCAGGATACGGCAATTATTCATGTACCGAGTGAGGATAATCATCTCTATTTAGTTCGAAAAACACCTGACACCTGCAGACTACAAAAGTATGTCAATCATTACTACGAGGGATATTTTTACAATCTCATTTGCACTTATTATGAATGAAACGAATCATATTTTGATTTTCTAATTGGGTGGTTTCTGGGGGAGGTAATGGAAAGGCTGTTCAAAAAGTCAGATCGATAGATGAGGAGAGAACGAAGGAATAAACACGACATGGTCTCGTTCCCCCTCTACTGTATACTTGAATTTTGTTGTTTCTCTCATCTTGATTCATTAATCTTCAATGATGTGACAAAAATTTGTGTACTGTCAAGTTTCTTTTAAAGATAACTATAATGTCAAAACATGTACTGTGATTCGAGATGGCAGTTGAGCAAATTGGCTTGGATTTTTTTTCAATTTTATGGTTTGAGGAACAGATTTTAAATAATGATGGTCAACCTTGGGGATCAATTCTGATGTGATCCTTCACGTGTAACATACTCTTTGTATGAATAAAATTATCAGTATTTATGATCAATGGTGTGATGCAACAGATAATTTCAGATTCTACTCCCATATCCATTTTTTTGTTTTAAACATTATTTTTTGGAGGATTTCATTTCCAGGTGGTTATCAGGAGTTGTTTGGAGGTATTTTTTCAATATTTTTTGCCTTTGTTGTTCTCTAAAAAAAATTTAATAGTTGGGACCGGGATAAGATTTTCGAAAAAGCATATTATTTTTGGGGTGTAAGGTGTTCTTTTGCAAATGCAGAGGAAACAAATTTGAGTATTACAAATACATGAGAGTGATGTTGGAAGGTTGCAGCCGCAAAAATATTTGGAAACAATTAAATTCAATCAAATAAATTTATTTCTCCCTTTTCGACTCTGTAAAACTACAGGATCAATGTCGCAAAGGATTTTACCTGAGGTGCAGAAGGCTTTCGCGATCATCTTTCTGAGTTTGCTAATACCTAATTAATCCCTCTCAGATTATCCTATGAATTATTTCAGATTGTAATTGCAGAGGTAGATGTTTGAATGCTTGTGTTGGTGCGATTTTTTATCCTCATACAGATGGATGAGGTTGTTTTGGTTTGGTAAAAAATGATGATTAACACAAACCGTTGGAAATGTCTATTAGGCAATAATGGTATAAACACAAAAAAACTAACACAAATCACTTTAAATTAATTTTCCCTATATTTTCACAATTTTTAAAAATACACTTAATATTATTCTTTGATAAAAAAATACAAATATGGACTGTAAACTTAGTATTAACTCGCGAAAAGGGTGTGAATGTAAAAAGTTATTTGTCACGGTATTTTAGCTAGACAATACTAGAATAGACCGGCGGACACAAAAAATGAGTTGAAGTTGTAACGATGCGAAACGATAGATTAATACTTCGATACTGGATATTGTGGAGAAAAGTGTCAAGTTTTATGCTAAAAGTCCGCACGGACTGAACCAAAAAATTAATAGGTTCTTATTGGTCAAGGAAAGTGTAAGGATAATTTCATTGGTTTATCTATTTTGAAGGGTGGAGTGGGTAGAATGGAGAGTGGAAGTGGAAATGGGCACCAAAGGTTTGGAAAATGTGTGGGCCTGAAGGGGCTGAGTGACCGCAATAAAGTCATAAATGACCCGAGAGTCTCTCATTAAGACTTATTTTCTCGAGGTCTAAACGAAAGAGGCAATAATGACCGTAATAAGTGGATAGAATAATTATGTAGGTTTTCCGAGGTACGAATAATAACAAAAGGCCTTTCAAATTTCAAATACATTTGAGGATTAAAAATCTCCTACTATAAAGTAATTTCCTTTCTATAATAAACGAAATAATATTTGGGACGAAGAGATTTAGGAAATTACGATTTTTATGACGGTCAAGTAGAAATATTTTGGAATAAAAGAAGGATTAAAATTTAAACGTTGCAATGGGCGTGACGATGAGTTCAATAATAAAATAATTTACTCAAGTAATTCTGCGAAAAGGCTGGGTTTTTCCCGATGGAAAATTTCCCAATACGATGAACAATTCCGCGACGGAACAGAGGTTTACATCCAACAAATGCTCCTATATAAAGTAACCAAATTTTTTTTGTCATTTCATGCGAAAAATTGAAACTGTTACGCTATCGCGAGATTGTTTCTGACAGGCATTGAATGTCAATACGAATTATGGATAAAATTCGTATTGAGGGTTGTATGGAATTCACTGGACTATTTCATGAGAGAGTATTGACTTGGGAATGGGTTAGCACTGGGCGCTGTGATGTGTCTCGACTGGATGGTACACTCCCTTCGCGAGAAAGGAGGTGTGTGTACGAGCTACAGTTCGCCTTTAGGGGACTCCCCGGGAAGTACTCAACTGTTAAAATTGGGGTAATGTTCAAATTGCAATGTTACACTGAGAAAAAAAAATATTTGCGCAAAGTATTCCTTTACTTGAGACAAGCATTTATTTTTTCAAAATCGTATTTTTCTCCAATCGAGTCGTTCCCAAGCTAGCCTGATTGGGTTTCCATTATGACAATCATTGCTTTAGAGGATAACTATGTTGCACATGACTTTGGATGAATTCCTCCAATGATAATCATTTTTCCTAAATTTTTCATTTCCTAGAGGGAAGACTTTTGATTAATTTTTTCATGTTGATAATTATTGAGGGAGTTCACTCAAGGTCGTAACTTACATGATCATCTTCTCAAGCAATATAATTGTCATAAATGAAACCCAATGAGGATTACGTAGGAATGACTCGACTGGAAAATACGGTATTGAAAAAGTAAATGACCTATTCTATGTCAAAGGATAAACGGCTCACCCTCACCCTCTTGGAAATTGATTGGGGGGCTATGGCTCAATTTTTTTCAGATTCTGTTGACAGCCCATTTCGGAGATATGATTTTTTCTTTGTTTTTTCGTTTCTTTTTTAATAACTCCAGTTCTATTCATCCGATTTTTATTAACAGCGCGAAGGAAAAACGTACTTCACGAACATCTGAGGAATTATGAATGACCGTAAAGCCGAATAAAAATTCATCTAAAGTAAAAATAATTTTCCGTACTGACCTTCACTTTTTCTCGTGCAGGGATTGGCATTGGCTCTTCCCCAAACTCGTAAAAGTGAAAATCACTACGGAAAAATATCGTTCACGACTAGTGCCATGGGGTTGGTCAGTCGTCGCCTTCGGCTCGAACGCCAACTCCACGCGAGTAAAAAACTCCATAGCACTCGCCCTGAAATATACCATTTATATTTTTTCTATTTGAGATCCTAATGCTCGGATAAAAAATCACTCCGAAAAGTGCGTGCAGAGAACCTGGCATTTTCTATGATTCAATTTTGAATGCATCTAATGAATATAAAGGAATGAATTTTCAACACTAGAGACAAGAAAAGCTGTTGATTACGCAGGCATGAATCGTCTCCAGATTAAAAAATAAGGGATCTTAATATTTCGGCAAGGGGGTGGATGGTGGCAGAAAATGGGTCCTTGACAGAAACTGATTCCATGACGGTAACTAGGAATCTCCATGATGGAAAAATTGAAAAATAAATTAACATGTGTTCGTATGCAAAATATTGAAAAGTATTCCAGCTCCGTAAAGAATAGTAAAAAAAATCTGAAACTTCACTGACAGACCGGGGAAAAATATAAGATTGTTTTGGTGAGAAAATTGCGATCATTAGGAGTCTTGCCTTTTTGTAATTGAATTATTTCTAAAAAATGTCACGAAAAAAGTGGGATTGAACGTTGTCTGATTGCCCTAGTGACCTAACTTTTTCACACATTGTATGGGGAATCACAATTGCCGAAAGCTAAAATGGTTTGCAATATAGTGCATTGGATGTCGATAATTGATCCGCAACAGTTTTTAAATAACTGTTAACAAAATTGTTGAATGTTGTTAAACATTTAATGTTTATCGATACAGTTGGTGAATCACTTCTCGCTTTGAATATCGATTCATTTTATGCGAGTCACTGATCATTTGTCGAGCCAGCCCACATTCAGGGTTTGAAATTCATTTGCACAAAGAGAAATTCTCGAAAAAAATTCTAGTGCTACCATGGGAAAAAGGACGCAAAGTGACGCCCAAGGAAAAATTCTAGTGCCGGCACTAGCAATTTTATTGAGTAACACGTGATTTTTTCCCATTCGTACATGAAATTTCATCAGAAATCCCTAGAAATTTTACGTTAACGGGAGGTTCATGCAGGGAAAAAAACTTTCGGTTTTCGCGAAACAAATTTTAATACTATTTTCCGCGTGATTTTTCCTCAGGAATCTGATTTTGTCCATTAAAATTGTCTACGGCCCCTCATAATTAGAGAGTCGAATTTTTTTGAATCGAAAAATGAACTTGACAAAAATTTCCAACGTTTTTGTTTTTAAAATAGTTTTTTGAATAAGATCACAAATTTTTGCTCCTTAATTATTAAAAATACACCGACGGCCGTGGCTGTGTGGTTAGAGTATGGGATTGGCACGTGAGGGACCCGGGTTCGATACCCGGCTGGGGAGCCAAAATGTGTAATACTCTAATCTCACAGTTTCACTGTCGAGCGGGAGTCTCGTTAAAGGGACGACTGTACCTGGGCAGGTTTTTCCCTCAAGTGAGGTTTTCTTTCGTCCTTCGGCGAATCCGGTACAGGGGGTTGGGGGTGGGAAGGGAACAAATCGTAAAAACCCGAAAGGGTATACGAGAGAAAATAATTTTTTTATTAAAAATACGGGAGAAGATATATTTTGAAATTTATTCGTTTATAAAAATTTCTATTAATATCTCAAGAAACAAAGTTCCTTGAAAATATATTATATATAAACTTCATTTATTAATGCTCACTCTATCGTGTCCCTTACACATCTACCTAGTCGTTTGGTACTCTATAAATGAGAGGGTTCCTCTCAGCAATCCAGATTTCGCTAGCGCACTTCCTCCCTAAAATTCGGACAAGTACATTTTTTCTGTACGGTTTCCATTAATGGTTTATTCTTCTTGTGGAAATCCACTCCTTCTAATTGATACTCATAAAAATTTTCGAGAATATCATCGATCGATTGAAACTAACGACTTTTTTTGGTTGACCAATCAACTTAAAAATGCATCATCTCCCGTATTTTTCATAATTAAGGAGCCGAAATTTGTGATCATATTAGAAAAACTATTTAAAAGAATACGTTGAGAATTTTTTTCACGTGGATTTTTCGATTAAAAAATCGAGTCTCATTTGTAGAGCTCGCAGACAAATTTGACCTACAAAATCGGATTCCTGAGGAAAAATCACACGGAAAATAGAATTTCAAAATTTTTTTCCTCCAAAAACAAAAAAGTTATTTTATTCTCGGGGTGAACCTCCCCTTCACAGCACTAGAATTTTTCATAGCCGGTAGATTGGGATTTTTTCCCTCCATGTGCAAACCCTACGAACCTTAAATTAAAACCAGCAAAGTCATTTCATTGGTGCGATCTCCTCGGTAGGTTGAGCTTTGATTTTCTGTTGCAACGACAATTTGTTGTTT